GGTTGGGGTAGGGTGGTATCCCCGGACCCAGGTTCTATAAGAGGAGGTGATGGGGTGGTATGGTGTCCCCTGATCCGGGTTCTATACTGGAAGAAGTGAGGCCCTTATTTCCCTGGAAATGCTGCTTATTCTCATGCAGGATGCACAGTTTTATGAATGTTTTTTTTTAAACCCAATTATATTAACTCCATTTGAATCGGCTAGCAATCTGACTGAAACAGTATTGCCTGGGCATTATTAGAAGGAAATGGACTATAATAAAAAGGGGGACAGGGAAAGAGAGGGAGCAAGAGGGAGGGAGAGGGAAGAGGGGAGAGGGAGAGAGAGAGGGTGGGCAAGACAGAGAAGGAGAGGGAAGAGGGAGGGGGAGAGAGGGGAGAGGGTAAGGGAGAGAGAGAGAGAGAGAGAGAGAGAGAGAGAGAGAGAGAGAGAGAGAGAGAGAGAGAGAGAGAATACATTAGGAAGTGAGATTAAGCCCAAGGAAAGCCTAGCTGCCAAAAGTGACAGGGTTCAAGTTCACTTCCTCAGTCCATGACTTCCCTTCACCCTGAGGTCTAAGAGGAAGGGTCTCCACAAACTTTCTCACCCACATTCCCTGGCTGGCTACATCTCCTTCAGTCTCGATGTCAAGGAAAGAAGATAATGGCCCAAGAATCCATACAGCCATATCTGCGTCATACACTCCAGCACTCCATATCCTTTGTTTTCTGGAGGCCCAGAGAGGTGAGGAAAATGATAATGGCCCAAGAATCCATACAGCCATATCTGCGTCATACACTCCAGCATATCCTTTGTTTTCTGGAGGCCCAGAGAGGTGAGGAAAACGGCCCAAAGTTTCATAGCAGGAGGGTAATGCTGAGAAGGCTCCTCTGTCTCTCTGTGTTAGGTCTATGCAGAGTCCTGAGCTAAACCAGCTTTGGCTTCCTGGCTGCGGTATGGGTCTAGACTTTTTCATTCAGGGTGACTCTGGTCCTGGAACACTTGGCAATATCTGGAGACTTGGTTATCAAACTGGAGACACTGGGGAAGGATAGAGATGCTCCTTCCCCAGTTGGTTGGAATTAAGGAGCCCATGGTACATCTTACGATGCCTAGGGCAGCCCTTCTCTGCCAAGTCATCTGTATGCAACACAGCATAGATCCAGAAGGAAAAATGGACAACTCCACCCTGTTCTGTGGTCAGAGCATCCAGGGACCCACATACACAGCTCCAAGTCCTATGTTCAAAGTGAAAGATGGACTGAGTCAGGCTCCCCACAAGGAAACACATGCCTCAGAAGGCAGTGGCTGGCACTGTACTTAGGCTTGGGCTGTCTGAGGAAGAGAAGAGGGGGCTAGAGGGGTGAGCAAGGCTCCCTCTCTGCCTGTCTGTATGTTCTTGTGGGTACTGTGGGTCCTGGCCTGAAGAAAGAACTGGAGGTCAAGTCTGAAAGTACAAGCAACCAGGCTTGGGCAGAGGGAGGCTTTGTGTAAGGACAAGTGGGGAGGGCAGAAAGGGCAGTCACAGTTGGCTCATCCTCAGGGGGAGTAGGAGGCTGGGTGACAGAGAAGGGGATGCCCATCTGCACTCCTACAGTGAGTGGCACTAGCTGTGTTCTCTCTCTCTCTGTCTCTCTCTGTCTCTCTCTGTCTCTGTCTGTCTCTCTCTCTCTCTCTCTCTCTCTCTCTCTCTCTCTCTCTCTCTCTCTCTCTCTCACACACACACACACACACACTCATACCCAGAGGAAACCATTTTCCAGACTCAATCAAAGCTCTCACTCCACGTCTTAATAGAACCGCCGTCCTTTGTGATCTCCTAACTTCACAGATCACAGAACTATTCAGGATACAAAGCTGTGGGATACCATGCTGCCCCCACCAGTCTACAAAGGAGCTTGGGAGGGAGAAGTGGGAGGGCAGGCAATCCTTTCCTTCCTTCCTTCCTTCCTTCCTTCCTTCCTTCCTTCCTTCCTCTCTCTCTCTCTCTCTCTCTCTCTCTCTCTCTCTCTCTCTCTCCCCGCTTTCTTTCTTGCTTCTCTCTCTCTCTCTCTCTCTCTCTCTCTCTCTCTCTCTCTCTCCGCTTTCTTTCTTGATGAAACTAGCATGGGGAACTGTCACAGCCAGATAGGCTTGTCTGAGGAATGCTGGTTCCTGCTGCCAGTGAACTACAGCCCTGCCTGGAAGGACATGGAGAGAAATACCTGCTTTTATGCAAGTGGCAGGTATCTCTGAAGTAGACCGTTCAGGGGCTGACTACCCAGCACCCTGTACTGTGCTTCCATCTTTCCTTCCATCTTTCCTCACTGTTTCTTCTGGTCAGTACCTCCTGGAGTATGAGTGTGGGGTGAAGAGTTAGAATGAGGTTATCTGGAGATCAAGTGAAGAGTCTTTCACTGTGGGGTACTGAATTTAACATATAAGAATTCAAGACTGACTATAGAGAGCAGTGCGAAGGTTTTCCCCAAACCCAGTAGATTCGCCATAGAACATCTGGCCCACTTCTGGGTATATGACCAAAAGAAACAAAATGAGAATCCCACAGATTCCTGCATGCTGTATTTACTGGTGCACATTCATAGCAGCTAAGGCAGAAACCAATGTGGGGGCTGCAACAGACACATAAAGAAAATGTGGAATAGATATACAACAGGATATCATTCGGACAATTGGGTGGAACCAGAGGACACAATGAAATAACTCAGATAGGTGCCACCTGTTCTTTCATAAAAACATACCTTAAAAAGCCAATCATAATATGCAGCAGTGATGCCTAGGAGCTAGGATGAAGGGGATGATGGAGAAAGAGTGGAAAATGGGCATTAAAATAGACTTGTGCTTTCACATTCTACAGCACAGTGGAGGACTGCACTTCACAAAAACCTGTTATGTATGATATAAATAATAAACAGAGAGGCGTTCAGAGGCTCCAAACACAGTCATGGCAAGGAGATGGAGAATAAATTAGCCCAATTTGATGAGCACGCCTTGTGTATGTGTAGTATAATCTTACATAGTGCCTCATAGGTTCCCGTGGTGTTATGTGGTAATCAAAATTACTAAAGTTGTTAAAAGAACAGGACATGTTAAATATCCTGACTTGATTAGTGCCCAGTGTATACCTGTATTGAATCGTCACAAGGCACAGGTAACTATGTGCAGTAAAAATGTTAATTAAGGGGCTAGAGAGATAGCTCGGTGGCTACAAGTTCAGACTACTTAAGAAGATGACTACCTAGGAAGTTCTCAGCAGCTCACAACTGCCTATAACTCCAACTCCCGGGAATCTAAAACTCTCTTCTGGTCTCTACAGACACCTCCACTCACCGGTATACACTCCCACACAGACACAAACACATACATACACAGACACATAATTAAAAACAAAAACAATCTTTGAAATGTTAGTAATTGATAAGGGAGAGTCAGAAGTTGAAGAGAAGCATACAAGTATTCATTCACACCCTGCCATGCTCTCAGGAGAGACATGTGGCAATGAGGGGCCCCACTCTGGCCCTCCAAGCCCTGGTCCCCATCTACAGGTGGCTTACCTGGTAATCACATAGGGGGCAAAGCACACGAGAAAGGTCCCTATGAAGGTGCTGATCTTTTTGGTGGCACGCTGTCGCCTTCGCTTCTGCTCCTCCAGACATCGTTCCCTTACACTGCATGGGACAGAGAGGAGAAGGTAATTCATGGGGTGATGTGGCCAGGACACAGGGAGATGCTACTCGTGAACACAAACAATGGATTTCAGGCTTGTAGCTATGAAGCCAGAGACCTGAGGCCCAGTCTTGTGCTCGTGGGCAGGCTGCATGACATTGCCAAGGCCATTTTGTAGTGTAATATCGTATACCACATTTTATTGATGTGCTTTCTTATAGACAACATAAAGCAACATAATGTTAAATGGGATTGCCTGCAGAATTAAATGCACTATGCACAGTGTTCTGGTTTCCTTTCTGTTTCTTCCATAAAACACCCTGACCAAAAGCAACTCAGGAGAGGCAAAGGGTCTATCTGGCTCACACTTTCATGATACAGTCTATTATTTGGCAGAAGGCTAGTCACAGTACAGCTACAAACCAGAGAAGAGGGACACAAACAAAACTATGTTGCCTGCTTGCTTATGCCTTCAGCTTGCTCCTGCCCCAAGTTCAGAACCCTCTGCATGGGGAACAGTGCCACCCTTATGTCAATGAATCCAGGCAATCCCCCATAGATATGCCCACAGGTCTATCTGGTCTAAATAATTCCTCTACTGAAATGCTCTTCCCAGGTAATTCCAGGTGTGGCAAGTTGACATTTAAAACCAGCCATCACATATAAAGATACAGCAAATGTATCTGGTGTGCAAATGAGTAACACAATGAGTACAAATAGACAAGAACTCATATTATTGCTGCTTTGTCACTCACTGATTCCCCTGAACAGCCCTGGAGGGACTATACTCCGTGTGGTGTCTTTTATTCTTACCTTTATCATCTTTGATCCTGCAGGGATTATTTCCCTGCCTCTGGGGCTCATCTACGGTGATGGTCAGTGTTAACTGTCAACCTGACAGAATACAGAATCACCCGGGAGATGGACCTCTCTGCTTACCTGGGGTAAATTATCTTAATTGCATCCTTTGTCATGGGGAGACCAGTTTTAGTTGTGGGTATGTGCAGTTCCACACATGATTCCCCCAGGGACTAAGACAGGAAAAGCTAAGTGACAGCCAAGTCTTCTTGACATTTAGGATGTAGCTTAGAAGATGGAGTCAAGAGCCACCAATGTCTCTATTCACACCCTGTTCCTGCTTCACTCGGCTCTAAGCCCTCCCAGGAACTGATTTTTCTTCACTAGGGGAATACAGGGTGTCACAGGCATGGGGTACAGGAAATCAGCTGTGCACAGGCAGACAACCCAGCTCCAGGCTCCAGAAGCTTTATTGTGTAGTGTCCAGTATTGACATTGTTGAGCAGAGATTACTGGAGGTAGTGTTTTCCAACAAGCCAACTTGGCAGAACCTGCCTTGGGCTTTAGTGACTCGCCCCTGAAGACAGGCTGGCCTTATCCACGAAAGCAAGCAGTAGAGAGAAAGTTCATGAACTGGATCCAAGTATATTGTTAAAGCAAGTGTCTCCTACGGCATCTAGGAGAGGCGCATTTTAAACCTTAAGTCTCTCCTCAACAGATTTCCTCGAAGAGGAATGGTTTGGGTGGGCAGATCAGGAATCCTTGCTGGGTCCCTCTTGACCATCTGCCTTTATATAAATTTATAGAGTTGAGAACTAGATTGGGGCTTGGAATCAAGGTTTTCCACTGTCTGAAAATGTGTTGTTTACAACGAACGCTACTAATTACTTTATGAACATTCATACTAACAATGGCCTGGGCCTCCACCATGTGTCATGTTAGATTCTGTGATGGAGTTTCCCATGCATTTGTTAACTGATACTCACCATGTGTCTAGTGACGATGTCATTACAGTCCCCATGGCTCAGGAGATGTAAAACATTTGTTCAGGGTCATATAGCATTCACATGGCTCTTAAGTGGTGACTTTAGGGTGGTCAGCACCAGCTCAGGCACTGCCTCTGTTTTGTACTGAAAGTATTTCATCCTAAATGGTTACAGGAGCTGGCTTAGTTTCCAAGGGGGATCCTATATCTGAGAGTCCTTCTCTGTCATTAACAAGCCATGCTGGCAGATGAAGGCAGAATCTAAATCCAGACTCTATATCTGAGAGTCCTTCTCTGTCATTAACAAGCCATGCTGGCAGATGATGGAAGGATCTAAATCCAGACCAGAGTCTGGAACCAAGTTCATCCCTCCTCCTAAACAAACAGGCTACCTGTGTCATCACAGGGGGAAGTCCCATGGCCTGGCATGTGGTGGGCCCGAGGTCACTGAGTTCCTGCTCAACTCAAATCCCCACATTTGAGTTTCTGTAATATTTGTCATTAAAACTCGGGGGTTCCTGTGTCTTGGGCAGCCTGTGGTTAGACATCTGGGTACAGGGACGTGGCCAACTCAGTTGTCTTTGTTTAAAACTCAAAGCCCCTCAGTCTGGCAGTCTTAGTCTAGGGCAAAGAAGAACAGTGATGACCTCAGAAGCAGGGGCTCAGTGTTATTCTTCACTACAGAGGTCTGTCTACTCCACCGTTCATAGATTTTCATGGAAAATAGTGGGGTGCAGATTTGGGGTGTCAACTGAGTGCCCTGAACCATCACACCATTCTTCCATAACAACAGACTCTGGCACCCAATAAATAAGCATTCCAAATTCACACAAAGGACTCCCCAAGGGGATAAGAGCACCTGTGTTCCCATCCTTCTTAGCGTGTGACAGTGTTGTCAGCCCTCAGGTGCTTTAGGGTGAATGCTTTCTTAGGTAAATTCTCTTAGGAGGTCCCTGCTTTCCTAACTGTGTGGCATCGGGGAAGTCACCAAGCCTCTCTGAACATGAGCCCCCACTTCTCAGAGGATTTCACCACAGCTAAAAGTTCATTGTGGAGATAGACATGACTCACTAACTAGAAGGGCACTGAGAGATGGGGAGCTTCCTTATGCTCCCCAAGGAGTCAGCATTTTGATAAGGGGCTGTAGTCCCTTCCCTCTCCATAGCAGACCGTTTCTCTTCCAAAGCATTGGGTACTTAATATCTATAAAGGCTTTGGGGTGTCTTCAGAGAGACAGACACTTGAATGACAGAAGGAAGGAAAGGCTAGGACTGTCACAGGACTGCCTCTGCCCCACCCCAGGCTGCAAAGATCTTCAGAGATCTGCTGTGTTGTCTCTTCAGGTTAAACAGAAGGCATTTTGTATCTGTGAGTCTTCTTTGGTCTTTGTTTCATGGCTAATAGCCTAGTGGTTAACTGTGAACAGCCAAGGTTGGACTTCCAGATTCAAATCCAGGCCCTTGATTTTGAGGTGGCTTTAGGAAAGTGCTACAGCCTCTCTATACATCAGCTTCCTCATCTCTAAAAATGAGGGTACTGGGAGACCCTGACTTGTAGGGTCACATAGAGAGTAACTGAGTTAAAATATGAAAAGTACCAAGAACCGTGCCTGATGCAGTGAACACTTAGTGAGCATTAACCAAACTATCCTCAGCTCAGTATACACTCACTGGCAAACTGTATACTATGTTCCAGCTCTTCCATGAACCTCCAAACCACAGGTTTTCCTTTTTCCATAAAAGTCCCCTTTGCCCTATGCTGTCCAAAGGAGAGAGGCAGCTGGGCTGGGGACTGTGCCAGGGATGATGATGTGAACTAGCATCATACACTCTAACATTGAATCCTGAATTTGCTCTGTGGCCCAAGTATTTGAGGCTTACAGGGACATCACAGACTCTAATGTGATATGCCAGTAGAACACAGACACTGTCTGCAGAGGGTACTCAGCCCAAGAGGCATGTTGTTGCTGGGACAGAACAGTAGACTCTGCAGCATATGCCTACCCAAGCTTACAGATGGGGAAACTGAGGCTTACGGGAGTGAAAGATCTGCCTGCCTTGAGAGTCAGGTACAAGTGGGACTTCAAATACATGGGCATTGGCTAAGAGCCCAGCCCTTCCAGGTAGAGGTCTGCCACTCCTTCCCTAAAGTATTGTAAAGCAAAGGGCTAAAACCAGCTCTACCTTTCCTTCCTGGGCTCTGCTGTTTCCTGGGTAACAGTGCAGTGGTGGCAGGAGGTGAGTAAGGTCAGCTGACCCCATTCTTCGGGAAGCAGATTGACCATCAGCTTAGCACCCCCATCACTTAGGTGTGAGACAGCTCACTGGGCTCTCGGAATGATAGGATCACAAAACCACTTGCTGTCATTTCCCTCACCACAGCTTTGCAGCACTGAGATCCCGAAAATCTTGTATTTCTGTGAGCTGCATTGTGATTATTCTCAGATGAGGACACTAGTAGTTTAGGACATGCCCAAGAAAATACTGGCAGTTTGGGACAGAACCAAGTCTCACCTCACATCTCCTGACCTGACTCTAGAGTGTTCCCCTTACCCTCACTGCCACCCCTGATCTGATTGTGGCAACCAGAATCCTTGGACTGCTGGGCAGAGTCTGTGGTGCAGAGAACATGAGGTACAAAACTCACTCAGGGACCCCTGATTGTGGTGTGAACATGTGTGCTAGCCTGGAGTTGGAGTAGGAGGTGTCACAATATTTGAGACCAAAGCAGAGGGCTCCCTGGCTTTCTGACATATGAAGTCAAAGAGATGCACTCAGCAGGCTCCAGTAACAGCAACTCTGGAAGCATCTAAACAGACAGTGAGGGAGGTGGTCTCAGAAGCCTCCCAGATGGCTGAGTCCTTGATGATCTGAGATGTCCATTGTCCTTCCTCAGCCACACTTAGTGCACTCACAGGCTTGTCCCTATTAGTTTTCTGGCTTTTAAGACATAAAACAAGATGGCTGATAGTGAGAAAGAGCCCTACGTTTGCAGTGAGGATGTTGGCATTATCAGTCCCCCTCTCTAGCAAATGTGGTCCCTGCTCTGGGCTCTCCCTGCACATTAAAGCTGGAGCCCACACCTTCTACACTAGAGTAAACTCCAAATTTTCTAGAACACATAATCCTTGTCCAAAGGCCTTGGTTCTGATTCCAAAGTACATGCAGACCCTGGTTCCCACTCAAAGGTGGACTATACTGTAGATGTAATCAGTTCAAGGCCCAAGGAGCATCACATGCATATGGAACATGACTGTAAGACTTGTAATGTTCACATGGCCCAAAAGAGGCACCTGTGGTGCTGGGTGGAGATGTGAGGTAAGTGGACCACTTAGTGTTCTCTAGCCCAGATGAGGCTAGCCTCCTAGGAGTCTGTAAATCCTAAATTTGAGCCCCACTTTTAGGAAGTATATCTGCTAAGATCGGGGGATTAGAAAATATTCCATGTAACTGTCTGTAAACTAAATTAGAACTTCTGAGCATCTACACAGACAGTTTGTGAGCCTCTGTCTGACTGGTTGCTCCATCCATAAGTCTCAAGGCAGACTTGGGTGTGGACCTGGGTGTGAGCTACTTTCTAGAGTTCATCAAGTGCCTCCCTTTTGGGATCAACTTTTGCCTCTGTAGTCAAGGGCCCAGTGAGATTCTGCCTCCTTGGCCAACCTCTGACATCCTGCAGAGTCAGCCCTCAGCCAGCCTTTGTAGTCTTGATTCACAGGATGTTGAGGGATTAGAGAGAGACCCCAGTAACACTGTGAAGAAGTCCCTCTTCAGCTTGTAGCAGAGACTCTGTCACCAACAGCTTAGCTCCAGGAAGGTATCTACCTGGCATGGTGAGCCTGGGCTGGGCTGGAAAGAGAGGACACTGCAGCTGGGTCATGGAGCCTGATCTTCTTGGTTGTACCTGACAGCAGAGGCAGAACAAGTCTAACTAGAGCCTGCCTAGAGCTTTGGCTGGAGAACTGAATAGCAGACAATGGGCAGGTGGAGCTGAGTGTGGACCAGACACTGCAATGTGAAACCTGCTTCGTAAACGTAGTGACTGGGAAACAGCCAAGGAACAACAGAAACAGGAGATGCCACCCTGGATCTCAGATTTAGAAAAGTGGAACTTCCTGCTGTTTAGGCAGTGATTGTAGCAAAGGGGTAAAGCTTGCTACTCGCCCTATTGGAAAATCAGCTACTTCCCATCACTTCCTAACAACGGTTCCTGGGCTCCAGACAATACAAAGCAGGTCTCTTTTAGCTAAATCCTAGGGTAAGTGGGGGTAGCTGGGATAACTTCCAGACTTGCTTCCTTAGCTGTCCAGAGACTGTCCTAGGACTGACACCCTAAGATTGCATAGGTTCTTGGCACTAAACGATATCAGAGCCTGAGATGGGGTAGGACTTCATCACAGCCTTCAGAGCTAAGACCACAGCATCTCAACAGTACCACCAAAGTGACAGCCAGCGTATCAGCTGTCAAGGAGGTGGATTGGCTGTCATGTTCTGTGGAACCCCCCTCCACCCCAACTCCTGCTTGAGACTTCTGTAAAGGACAGCTTGTGTTCACCAAGGAGCCCATGGCTCTGTGACCTGATGGAACTCCCTTCAGGGTCTAGAAGCAGGGACTCCTCCAAACAAACAGCCCGAGGCTTAGAAGAGGTCAGGGTTCTCTGTAGAGCTGTTAAAGGCCTGGATTCCAGCCATGTCTGACTTTGCTTATGAGACACCTACATGCTCTCTGCAGTTCTGACCTGAAGTCAGAGAGACAGTAGCAGAGGAAGCCCCTGTCACTAAATAGAATGCAAAGTAGCCTCTACCCTCCTCTCTGGGGGATTAAGAGCAGGAGTTGGGCTTTACCTCACTCTAAAAGAATTGGCTCCTCTCCTGGCTCCACTTCTCTTTCCTTCCACTGGGAGGCTCGCTGAGTGGGCTTTCTAGGACTAGTTCAAGTCTGCAAGAGTTAACATTTTCATGCATCCTCACAAGCTGCCCCAGCCCCAGCCCTGGGGATGGCCCTTTCTAAAGTGAAGGGCAATGAACAGGCATGTTTTTGCAAGCATGGCTGCAGACTTCCTGCTGAATTGACTCTTGAGCTGCACAGACACAAGCAGAGAGGGCTGCTGCAAGCACTTTCTGTGTAAGTTTCTGTGGGGAAGAGTTTATGTAGAGAAGACTAGAGCAGCCTGTCATCTGGAATGGTTGCTCAGAGCGGGATGGTAGACACACTCTACCAAGCACTTCTAATGTGCAGGCATGGTGAAATTCAGCAGCTTCTTAGTGCTCAAGGCAGGGAGCCCCACAAGGGGCCTTTGCTCAGATGAACACCTTCCATCAGTTTGCTGTGCTCTATAGGGCAGATACAAATTGGGGTCTATAATCTTCCTACCCCAGGCTTCCTGAATTAGGGGCTCTGCTCACACACAGAACGGTAACCTTCCATCACCAGTGCTCTCTGTGTATTGCATCTTCTGTGCCAAGTGGATTCCTAAGCTCTTATCTAGAGTCCCAGGCAGCAGAGAGGGAGGTGGCTCTTAATGTATATAAACTGGCAGAGGCCACAGAGGCACCCTCCCTCTTGATGTCCTTAGTCTCAAGAGGAAAGATAAGGTAAGCTCGGGACAGCTTGATTGACAGTTTCTCCTTCTCTCCCAGAGGAACATTAAGGACCACAGAGTTTCCCAGCCTGCCCTTCCATTTGCCTCCTTCCACCTTCTCCTGAAAAATAGTGGGTCAAGAGAATGGAGTTGGGTGGACAGGAAAGGCTTAGTTTCAGGAGCCTGAGGTACAAATTCTTGAAGGGACCTTGAGGCTCCAAGTCCAGAAGACAAGGAACAGAGTGCTCTCAGGAGGCAAGGCAAGCCCAGGCCCTCAGGACCCACCACAGGGAGTAGGTGCAATGGATCCTGTTTGATGGGGACTCTGGAACACATACAGGGAGAGATCAGCGTAGCACCACACCCAGGATAGCAAGGACCCGGAGGAGCAAAACCCGAAGTTTGAAGAGTTCTTAAGGGTTTTCTAAGCCTCTAGAGTCCCCTCTCAGGGCCATAACCAAACCCTTTTCAAGCTTTGCAGTGAACAAAGCCCACTGTTTAAGGTGGGTATAAGACTCTAGAGTCCCCTCTCAGGGCCATAACCAAACCCTTTTCAAGCTTTGCACAGTGAACAAAGCCCACTGTTTAAGATGGGTATAAGGATAAGGAGGAAGTTCTGGCTGGGATTTCAGTCCGGAGCTTCAGAAAGTGAAGCTCTGGGTACCAATTAAGCAGCACCTGTCATTCCACCCTTGCTTAATGCAGTGAGGTGGAAAGGGGATTCTCCCACAGCCCTACCCTGGATGCTGGGACCTTCCCAACTCACTAGTGTCCCCAGAGCACTGGATCAGGCCTCTCACCTGGGGTGGATGTCCACCAACAGCACAAGCGTCTGCATGGTGATCACGTCGATGCGCTTGCAGTGGAAGCGAGCCACCTTGAGCACCTTGAGGTACGTGAAGCAGAGTACGATGAAGGAGAGCAGGAAGCTGAGCGCATGGAAGGCGCTAGTGAAGACAGCAAAGCGCAGGCGCTCCTCGGGCCGCCGGCTGCATAGCGTACACGAGGCATACAGCTGGTGGAAGCCGAGCCAGGACAGGGCGAGCGCGGTGGCCGGGAAGGTGAGAGCGTGCAGCCACGTGTAGGCCACCATGAACGCGGCATCGCGGAGGCGCATCTTGGCACGGTAGCTTAGCGGGAAGACCACGGCCACCCAGCGGTCGATGCTGAGCGCGGCCATGCTGAGCATTGAGTTGGCAGCCAGGAAGGTATCGAGGAAGGCGGCCAGGCGGCACAGGCGGTCCCCGGCCGGTTGTCGCTGTGCTACGACGCCGGCCAGCGTGAGTGGCATGTTGACCACAGTGCACAGCAGGTTGCCACACGTGAGGTTGAGGGTGAAGAGCGCCGGCGCCTGGCGGCGGATGTCAGCGCTGTGCAGGAGGCAGAGCAGCACCAGCCCGTTGGACAGCAGCAACACTCCCACAGTGCCCAGCAGC